ATAAATTAGTCATGTCGACCATGAGATTAAATATAACTAGAGATGTAATCGGCTGGAATGGCTCGGCTTGGATCACTAAAGCCATAGCCGAAGTCAAGCTATAGCATAAATAGCCATGGTGTAGCCAAGCCATACATATATCATGGCTTGAGTTAGCGAGGCCGTTTAAGTCATGGCTTAGTTTGCTGAGCTATGGCTTAAGCTATTGTTAAGCCACAGGACTTAAATTGGCTACGTCTGGAGCCGACTTCAAAATCATGGCTAAAGTTTATCAGTTTGGCTCAGGCCATAGCTGAAAGCTAAATATTTGACAATATTTACTTTTGAACTTTAATATAAATTTTAATCCAATTTCTTCGATTTTTGTTTAATTTGCTATTTTTTATTATTAAAAAACATGATTTGATTGGCTAAATAGCATGTAACATTATATTCAAGTGTCCAAACTGTCTATAGCTTTAAATATTTTAGTAATAGAAATAAAAATTATATTATTATATATTCTTTGAACATTTTTGCTTAAAAGATTTGAATAGATTATCTTAAAATCATGTCCAAAGGCTGTCTATGTACGTACAAGATTATTACATTCCTAAAAATTCCGATGTGGAAAATGAACGAACTTAATAATTCCGAAATTTAAATTTGATTGGCAGGGTAATCCCGTGATATGCCTGATTTTATACAGTTATATTTTTTTTTTTTTGAATTTGCTTCACTCATTAATTTTATTTAATTCACCAAGTGCATTAACATGAAAGAACAGGTTCTCGAGACAGCTCCTCGCAAAATGTAAGATAATAACATGACAAGTAAAAATTTATTTACTATAACTATTAAAATGAAAATTCGCTACTTTTTGTAGTAAACATATCCAATTCAGTGTACTTTCTCCACAAGAGATCGTCAAAAATGCACAACTAGCTATTACTCATCGCGATCTTTTCAATGAAAATCGGGCCCCAATGGAAAATGGTGTCTTAGATACGCGCTTGGTTTGTTGAATTCGTTTAAATTCATCAAATTATTCTTAGATCTATTAATTAGAATTCTGTTGCTAATTATTGAAACGCGTAAACTTTGTAGGGAACCTCAGATCATGACATATACTGCGAAACATGTGGTGAAAGAATGGCACAGTGTATTGGACATTTCGGTTATGTCAAGCTAGTTTTACCCGTATTTCACATTGGCTATTTTAAAGCTGTTATTAATACACTACAAAATATCTGCAAGGCAATTATTCTATATATTATTAATAATGCGAATTCTGCTCAGAGTGACTAAATGGTTTTAATAGATTATTAATTATTTTAATAAAATTAGTCATGTAGTCGCGTCTTATTAGAAGAAGATGATCGACGAGCGTATCTAAAACGAATAAGAAGTTCAAAAGAGTCTTCAGCACGTTCTAAAATCGAAAAAGCTATAAATGCCTTATGTAAAAAAACTGTTGAATGCCCATATTGTAAAGCTATTAATGGATCAGTAAAAAAAGTTGGCGCAATTAAAATTGTTCACGAAAAGTTTAAACCAAAAAAAGCGCATGATGAACAAGAAAATTTT